ATTGCTGGCAGCTTGCCCAACTTCCTGGCAACTTGCCCATTACCTAATTCCAAAGATCCTCTGAAACTTCCCACCTTCCTGTACAGATTCTTATCTTCTTCTTCCAAATGTTCCAAGCATTTTACAAAAAAAAAACAATTTCTTCCCTTAAAAAGATCTCTTGCCTTCAAATTATGACACGTTTTCCTTCCACTATCTCATCTTGCCGATCTTTCTCTCCAATGAAAATCGAAAAAGTTGTTGTTGGTCATTTTTCGAGAATCGGTCACTCTAGTTTCTTCGATTTCTAATTCGATCAACTCGTTAGATAAGTATTGTTTTTTTGGTTACACACACTTTTTCACAAGTTCTAGAAATTTCTGCAAAAGGGGTCATTTTTAGTACGACCGGCTAATAACACATTATTATTTTTAGCGCTTTTCGAAGTGAAAGTGGAAATTATAAGTTTGAGAAAACTTTATTGTTATTTCTTAAGACATGAAAGGGAATGATGTACTTGTCGGAACGGAAGAGGGGGGATCATGATGACAATGGGAGGACAAGGTTAAAATTGGTGTAAAGTGTATATACTTGTGTGTGTAAAGAGGAACCGTAATTTCTTAACTAACCTTGAGGTTTTTAGAAGTTTTTTTAGAAGTTTTTAGGTCGTGTTCGAAAAATTTAGATACTGTACATCGGTCAATTTCGATCGGATCTGTTTGAAAAATACAGCATTCGAATCAGCATGAAATGGCGGTTCGAATGAGTATAATCATGACTAGGTTTTGAAATATTTTGAATTTTGGGTCTCACCACGAAAACACAAAATCTATCGTATCTCGATCAGATTTCATCGGATCTTATTGAAATATATACCATTCGAATCAGCGTAAAAAGGCGGTTTGAATGAGTATAATCATGACTAGGTTTTTAAAAAATTTTGAGCTTTGGGTCTCACCACGAAAACACAAAATCTATCGTGTCTCGGTCAATTTTGATCGAAACTTTTTGAAAAATATACGATTTGAATCAGCGTAAAAAGACGGTTCAAATGAGTATAATCATGACTAGGTTTTGAAATTTTTTGGTTTTGGGTCTCACCACGAAAACACAAAATATATCGTATCTCGGTCAGTTTTGATCGGATCTCATTGAAAAATACATCTTTCAAATCAGCATAAATAAGCGGATCGAATGAGTATAATCATGACTCGGTTCTGAAAAATTTTCGATTTTGGGTCTCACCACGAAAACACAAAATCTATCGTATCTCGGTCAATGGTGATCCGTTCTCATTGAAAAAGATACCATTTGAATCAGCATAAAAAACCGGTGAAACTGAAGAAAAACCTCCCAAATTATTTTCTCAAAACCAATCCCTAATTTTTTTCAGATCACCTAATAAATGCACAAACGCTAAGTCCCCCAATAACGGATCGATTTAAATGTCTGACGAATGGTTGTTGTGATCATCACGAATGGTGTCGGTTTTGGGCGAGCATCGGAGAATGTAATGTGAGTTTTTTTACAAATTTTTTTGAATTTGAAAAAAAATTCTTCGAATTCCCTTTGTATCATTAAACCAAGTGACCAGAAAACTAGTCATCGTAACAACACACATTCACTAGGAAATCAAAAATCTATACTACTGTTTTGATGAAATTAAATTCCTTGAAATGATGACTCAGGGTCATCTCTAATTTGATAAAATAGGGAGAAAATGATCTACTGATTTCCGGGTGTGGCCTAAATTTTTTGAAAATTTTCACTGAGAGTTCTGAAAAGTACAGTATCCCGGGGCTCGCTTCGGACCGATCTGAAAAAAATTGAAAGATTTGAAATCAGCTCATTAAACCGGTTCGAATGAGTATAATCATGACTAGGTTCTGAAAATTTTCAATTTTGGGTCTCACCACGAAAACACAAAATCTATCGTACCTCGGTCAGTTTTGATTGGGCCCGTTTGCAAAATATACCATTCAAATCAGCATAAAAAATCGGTTTGAACGAGTACAATCATGACTAGGTTCTGAAAATTTTTCGATTTTGGGGTCTCACCACGAAAACACAAAATCTATCGTATCTCGGTCAGTTTTGATCGGATCTAATTGAAAAGTAAACCATTCAAATCAGCTTAAAATATCGGTTCGAATGCGTATAATCATGACTATGTTCTGAAAATTTTTCGATTTTGGGTCCCGCCACGAAAACACTGAATCCATCGTATCTCGATCAGTTTTGATCGCATCAAATTGAAAAATATACCATTCGAATCAGCATAAAAAATCGGTTTGAATGAGTATAATCATGACTAGGTTTCCGAAATTTTTGATTTTGGGTCTCACCACGAAAATGAAAAAACCTTCTTATCTCAGCCAGATTTTGAGCTAGCGTCATGAAAATGGTACGGTTGGAATCAGCTTATTGAGCCGGTCAGGATGAGTATAATCATGACTAGGTTCTAAAAAAAAATTGTTTCGGGTCCCGCCACGAAAACCGTATCTCGGACAATATCTTTAATGTTCTCTGACCTGCTAGACAAACCAGTTAATTACCGGGTGTTTACCCTGTTTACCCCCAAATATCCCCTTGACCCGAAAACCAAAATTCCTTCCAGGCAAACAAAGATTGGATGGCCGAGAACTGTCAACTGGCATGCGGAACCTGTACAGCACCGCCAGCCCCACTTCTACCTATGACGACAACTGGTAAGCGCCTCGCGTACCAGATGACCCCCTTTGTTATCAGATGACCGTGAAGTCATGATACGCACCTGCCACGGCACACTCCCCATTAGTTGACCTATAACTTTTTATTGTTTTCGTGAACAAGAAACAATAGAGATTTGTTAATGAACTACAGTGAAGTATGTGAAGTTCAGAGCAGTATATCTCAGCTGTCTTTAGAGCTATCAAAAAGTTGTCAACTAATAAAATGCTCAAAATGTCTTGATAAACATTTCTTCAGTTGGTCACTTTTTGATAGCTCTAAAGACAACTGAGATATACTGCCCTGACCATGCAGGACTTGGTGTACAGCAGTAACGCATTCAGCACCGTAGGTTCAAAGCTGTATATCTCGGTCGGTTTTGGAGCTACTAAAAAATTATCAACTAGAGAAATGTTTACCAATACAAACTGAGCATTTTACTAGTTGAAAACTTTTTGATAGCTCTAAAGACAAGCAAGTTGTGCCCCTTCAAACTTGAGAGATTTGTGGATTTTGAAACATTTTTTTTGAAAACCGAAAAAATTCAATATGACCTAAAAGCCCTCAAAATTCTCTACAAAACCGTTCAAAAACCATCTCGAGAGCTCAATCTTAAAGCGTGTTATGCGCCTTTGAAGTTGGTGGTGAGACGCAGAGAAGCTAGACTGTTGTTTTCTCTGCCGCCTCTCACTCTCTACCCCACAACTTTGAAGGCGCATAACTCAGTTGTCTTAAGAGCTATCAAAAAGTTGTCAACTAATGAAATGCTTAAAATTTATTGATAAACATTTCTTTAGTTGATCTTTTTTCAAAATTTCCAACGGCAACCGAGATATACTGCTCCAAACATTTTTTTTCCCGACATCCGTGGGGTAACATGGAGTTACGATGTATAGCCTTCGTTTAAAGGGCCAGCTAACTCATAAAACATAGGAGGCTATGTTTTTTTATATGAATCGACGCAAAATTAGACAAAAATTGGAAATTCGCATAGGAACATGTGTAAAAAATACTTTGAAGCGAGATACTAGTACCGTGTAGCTCCCAATCAATTCCAGGCGGATTTTTTGACATTTTTATCGCTTCAAAGTGTTTTCTGCATATACCTCCAACAGAAATTTGTGTTCTCCGCAAAATTCTGCATTGATTCATGTAAAAACATCGGTACTGAACCTGTGACTTGTATGTTCATTGCCGCGTATCTCGGTTACCTTTGAAAATTTCAAAAAATGATCAACTAACAAAATGTTTATCAATAAATTCTAAACATTTTATTAGTTGACCACATTTTGATAGCTCTAAAGACAAGTGAGTTATGCGCCTTCAAAGTTGGAGGTGAGAGAGTGAGAGGCGGCAGAGAAAACAACAGTCTAGCTTCTCTGCGTCTCACCACCAACTTTAAAGGCGCATAACTCGCTTTAAAATTGAGCTTTTGAGATGATTTTTGAACCGTTTTGTAGGGAATTTTAAGGACTTTTAGGTCACATTGTATTTGAGTACAATAATCAAAAAAAAATTTTTTTTTCCGATTTTCAAAAAAAATTCAAAATCCACAAATCGCTCAAGTTTGAAGGGGCATAACTCGCTTGTCTTTAGAGCTATCAAAATGCGGTCTACTAAAGAAATATTCATTGTGACATGCTTAACATTTTATTAGTTGAAAACTTTTTGATAGCTCTAAAGACAACCGATATATCCTGCTCTGAACATTGGGGCCCTCTCTTAAAGGTACACTATCTTACTAGAAGAATTTCCTAATTTCTTAGTCTCCACGTGCCCCTTTTGGTAGTATAATCATACGCTAGAATGATTCTTTGGTTGGGGGTTTACAAGGTTTACAACTTTAAACTAGAAACATTGAAGAAGGGATTTGAAAAGGGATAAGGAGAGACCAGGTATTAGGACAGACTTAGAAAGGGGAGGCGAAAAGAACAAGAACAAGCTAAATGGACGTTTACAACTTTTTTTCTCACAATTGGAAGAAGGGATAAGGGGATGAAAAACTAGCTGGAAAAAGGGCAATTTTGGCACGTAATTTGGGGTGATAGGGGCAAATTTAGAGCAAATTTCCGGCAAAACGGCAAGCAACGGCAACTTGCCCATTCTCACCTTTCCCCATTTTCAGCCTCCTCTGCCTTCCCAACTCAAGGTGGCTTCTTCCAAACGACCACAGTTTCTTCTGGACCCACCACCACCGTCACCATTCCACCGTCCAGTCTGACACCGGTCAACAGTTGTGAACGTGTCAAAGACAGTATTGCTCAGGCGTCGGAGGTATGTGCAAAAAAGAAAAAAAAAGAAAAAAAAAGATTTGACCCCCAAGGGGATTGAACCCGCGTCCAATATTTCTAAGACATCAGTGCTAGCCACTACACCACACCGGCAACAGCTGAGAATAGGAGGAAGATCGTAGACAGTTCAAAGTGGGCCGATTTAGGCAAAATGGGCCGATTTAGGCAAAATGGGCCGATTTCGAAATGGGCGATTTAGGCAAAATGGGCCGATTTAAGCAAAATGGGCCGATTTCAAAGTGGGCCGATTTCGAAATGGGCCGATTTAGGCAAAATGGGCCGATTTCGAAATGGGCCGATTTAGGCAAAATGGGCCGATTTCGAAATGGGCCGATTTAGGCAAAATGGGCCGATTTAGGCCAAATGGGCCGATTTAGGCAAAATGGGCCGATTTCAAAGTGGGCCCATTTCGGCAAAATGGGCCGATTTCAAAGTGGGCCGATTTAGACAAAATGGGCCGATTTCGAAATGGGCCGATTTAGGCAAAATGGGCCGATTTCGAAATGGGCCGATTTAGGCAAAATGGGCCGATTTCGAAATGGGCCGATTTAGGCAAAATGGGCCGATTTCGAAATGGGCCGATTTAGGCAAAATGGGCCGATTTCAAAGTGGCCCGATTAAGGCAAAATGGGCCGATTTCGAAATGGGCCGATTTAGGCAAAATGGGCCGATTTCGAAATGGGCCGATTTAGGCAAAATGGGCCGATTTCGAAATGGGCCGATTTAGGCAAAATGGGCCGATTTCGAAATGGGCCGATTTAGGCAAAATGGGCCGATTTCAAAGTGGCCCGATTAAGGCAAAATGG